CTAGGCCTGGCATACCTACTTCATTAGGCCCTCACAGCTCTTCAGAATGTTTAGCCCCTCAGATGCTGCTAGGGTCAGTGGAGGGAGTTCAGGCCTGTGCCTCTAGATAACACCAGGCAAGATAATACATCGCCTCAATTTTTGCTGCAGGCCACTGACAGTCCCTTTCCATGTCATATGGCTAAGAACTGTGACTATAACAAGAGTCATTGGGGGGGGGGGAAGAGTCATGGTGCAAACAACCCACATGGCTGACCCTACTCTACAGTCATCATCTCCATGACAGGCCTCATGTGACACACTCAGAAAACACCTGTTATTTACTGTGTGGCTGGGTAGAGTAGCTAGATGACCTGACTAACACTATCCCTGGACAACAGGTCCTGCTCATCCCTGAACAACAGGTCCAGAAGCCTGTGGGCTCTCTGCTAGCCAAGGCCTCTTGGATGGAGGATGGTCCTCCTTCCCTTGAAAAGGAAACAGAAGTCAGCAGGCCAGATCCTGGGACCTTGAATGCCAAGCCAAAAATGTGGGCTTGCTCTTGGGGTAATAAGTGGACTGAGGTAGGCAAGTGCTGAGTTATATGTAGCCTGCTTGTGTGCTACTTCCAAGTCTCCTCTTTTCTATGTAGCCAAGGATGACCTCAAACTGATCTGCCTGTACCTCCCAAGTGCTGCGTTACAGGCATATAGGAGTAAGGCACCATGCCCCAAGTCTCTCTTCTCCCTACCCTCCCTCCATTATTCTCTCATACCTCCTCTCTGTCTACCCTGCCTGTGTGTGTGTGTGTGTGTGTGTGTGTGTGTGTGTGTATATATACATACCACTCTCCTTTTAAAAAACATAGCTAGAGTTGTGCTTTGTGCTTTGTACCCAGAAGTAGCCTTGATCTCCCCAGTCCTTCTGGCTCTTTTTTTTTTTTTTTTTTTTTCAAGATTTACTGGAGCTGGAGAGACAGCTCAGCAATTAAGAACACCGATTGCTCTTTCAGAGGACCCGGGTTCAATTCCTAGCATGAACTTGACACCCATGGCAAAACACCAATGCACATAAAACAAAGAAATAAATTTTAAGGATTTATTTATTCTTATTTATTTATTTGGTTGGTTGCTTGGTTTGGTTTTTTGAGACAGGATTTCTCTGTGTAGCCTTGGCTATCCTGGAACTCACTCTGTAGACCAGGCTGGCCTCGAACTCATAGAGATCTGCCTGACTTTGCCTCCTGAGTGCTGGGATTAAAGGTGTGCACCACCACAGCCTGAGCCACCACGTGGTTGCTAGGAATTGAACTCAGGACCACTGGAAGAGGAGCCAGTGCTCTTAACCTCTGAGCCATTTCTCTAGCTCACTCCCCCTCCCACCCCTGCCAGCTTTATTTTTGAAGTGCTAGAGTTACAGGTATGTACCATATGCTCAGTTTGTGAGTCTCTTTGATAGACAAAGTCAATATTCTAACCAAAGGCCACACTCCCAGTTCCTTACTGGGGAATTCTAGGCAGGGGCTCTACAGGTGAGCCACACCTTCTCTAGTTGGAGGTGGAACCAAACATAGACATTTTCCACTTAGTCACTATCACTCTACATGCATCTTACAGAAGACTGGCTCCCTCAACTGTGTTCCTTGCCCATGCCAAGGAGCTGAGTCTCCCTGGAGTTGTGATGGTTTTATAAGCCTGTTAGAACGGGTTATACACCACTCATTACCAGACTATGTGGGCTTTCTCCAAGGCTGGAACGACCACTGTCTTCACATGGCCCTGGGCTAACTGAGGGTTTGAAGTCTCTTCACCACAGACATCTCTCCACAGCTCCACCTCCTCCTTTGTCTCCCAAAGGAACAGCCTCACTCTGCAGGTCCTCAAGCCCTGTCCCTCAGTTGGTGACCCATCCCTGAATTATACTGACTGGCCTGACTTTTGTCTCTGAGTGCTGAGATTAAAGGCACGCAAGCACCCTTAACTACTGAGCCGTCTCCAGCTCCCCCACCACCACCTTATTTTAGTCTTAGCCCAGGACTCACTCTTGTCTCAGCTTGACCTGAAACTGGTGGCAGCTCTCCTGCTTCCACCTCCAGAGTTGCTAGGATTGCAGGTGTGAGCCCCTATGAGCGGGGTGTGTGAACCCTCCCTTTGCACATAGCAGCTGTGGGGCGGGGAGTGCTTCCCAGTCTTAGCTTCTCCACCTGGGAATTAAGGAGCCTGACTCTCAGGGCCAGGTGGATTGGGAATGTGTGCGTAGGGTTGTCCAATTTATTAGTATTGCCTAGTGGTCTCAGAACCTTCTAGCACACATGATCTGGTGGTCAATAAGCTAGTTAGGATCACATGGGAGACATGGTTGGTTCAATCCAGGAGTAGGGAAGGCCATTCCACGGTCATTGGAGCTAAAGTCACAGAGATCAGAAATGGTGTGGGGCAGCAGCTGGGAGCCCCTGGCTCACAGATCTTCAATGCAGCTTGCAGCTCCCTCCCCAAGCCAACATGAATGCCGAGTTGGAGCTACTGTGGCCATTGTCAGTCCCACTGCTGCTGCTGTTGGGGGCCACAGCCTGGCTGTGTGTCCACTGCTCCCGCCCAGGTAAGTGTCACATGGGCAGGGAGTGATGGGAGTACCATGGAGAGTGTGTCCTAGAGGCCTCTGGGGCTGGACCTGGCTGTAATGGGAGGGGCAGGAGGATGAGCACCCAGGAACCAGCAGGTGGCCGCTATCCAGCCCCTGAAGACACTGGGTGTGGGTGAAGGTTGGTTCTGCTGGACCATGGGGGTGATCCAGGCCAGGAAACCACTCTGGAGAAGAAAAGGGAGGCTGGCTACCTGTGGCACCCTCTATGCTATCCTCACTCCACAAAAAGGGATCAAGTACCTTTCATTCCTTCCGTCCCTCTTTCCTTCCTACTTTCCACCCCAGCTCCAGCTCTCTTCCTTCCTCTCCCTCCTTTTTTCTCTTCTCCCCTCCCCTCTTCATTTCTTCCTTTCATTTCCTTCCTCTTAATTCTTTGTTTCACTTAGCTCAGGCTAGCCTCAAATGTTCCTACCCTCTTGCCTCTGCTTCCTGAGTGTTGGGATCACAGGCATCTGTCACTACACCCAGCTGATAAGAACCATGTTAATGACAGGCAGCCATGAGGAACCTACCAAGGGCCTGGTGGAGTTTCAAAGAGGGGAGTCCCAGACCTTAGCTTTCCCCGGCCACGCACTTGGGGTTCAGGGACTCTTGCTATGCCATTTCTGTTCCTGCAGGGGTGAAGAGAAATGAGAAAATCTACGAGCAGAGGAACCAGTGAGTTGCCCCAGCTTGGTGTTTTTTGGGGATCCCTTTGTGAACACAGTCCTTGCCCTCACTCATGCCTGCTCTAATGGGTGCCTAGCACTCAGTGGAGGGAACGAGAGTCCAGGGGCTGTCTGAATGAATGTGCCGTCATGGTGGCAGCAGGGGAAGAACCTGAGCACTGGGTACTTGAGAGTCTGGGCACCTCCTGTCACCCCAGATATTCCAGAGCCTGCCTTGGCCACAGAGGGAGTTCAAGTTCAACCTGACAATTCAGTGAGACCTTGTCTTAAAATGTATAAGTAGGGGGCTGCAAGATAAGTAAAAGTGACTGACACAAAAGCCTGGTGACCTGAGTTCAGTCCCTGGAACCCACTGTGAAAAGACATTAAGGTCTCCCAAAAATTGTCCTCTGGCCTCCATCTGCTTACTGTACCATAACACACACACAGACACACACACACACACACACTAATAACAACAACAACAATAATAATAAATACAAATAAACTTTTTAATTTAAAAGCAGGCCTGGAGAGATGGCTCAGTGGTTAATAGCACTGGCTGTTCTTCCAGAGGACCTGGATTTGATCCGCAACACCCACATGGCTCAAAATCTTAGGTTCCAGGAGAACCATTGCCCTCTTCTGACTTCCTCAGGCACCAGGCATGCATGTGGTGAACAGACATACACATTTAACAAAAAAATAATTTTAAAGTGAGAGGAGCATGTGCCTAGACTCTCCAGTGAATGAACTGGGAACATGGCTCAGTGGTGTGTGTGTGTGTAGTGCTTGCTGAGTATGCTCAGAGTCCTGAGTTCATGCCCAACATAAACAGAAAGGCCAGGGGCAGGCATGGTGGTACACTCCTTTAATCTCAGAACTCTGGAGGCAGAGGCAGGTGGATCTCTGTGTTCTAAGCTAGCCTGGTCCACAGAGTAAGTTCCAGGCCAGTCAGGCCTACAGTGAGACCATATCGCAAAAAAGGAAAAGAAAGAAAGGAGATGGGGAGGGAACCAGTTGATCACACTCTACTCCTATCTGCTGCGTGTACATACACCCCCTACA